TCTCCTCCCTCCTTACCTTCTGTGGGAATGAAGCAGGATGGTTTTCTAAGATCAGTCTCTTGAGGTAGTGCACCCAAAGTCTCTTCTCCTCCTGGTTCTTTGTCTGCAGTTATGATATGAAGTATTAAACAAGTAATCTGGAGAACAGCAAGCACGCAAAGAAGATACTGCAATCATGTAATTATGACCTTGACATGTAGAAGTATTTGTCCTTTGTTCATGTCTCTGTGCTGTAACAGCACACACTTGGTGACATCAACTCAAACTGATGACTGACATGATTCTGGAGTCTGAGACATGACCTGGGATCATAGGTGTCATGTACGCTGGGGACACTGGGGACGCTGGGGACGCCGGGGACATGTCCCACCACTTTCTGAAATGGCTGACTCTGTCCCCACCACTTTTTACATATGTTAAAAGCGTTCTGAAATACAGCTTGTAGTTAAAGAACAATGAAAGTGCCTTTTTGCACATTAAGAAAACAGTCAATGCATTTAAAATATAGAAGAAACAAAAAAAGTAACTTAAGCTATAAAACAAATGACCCAAAAACGTGCAGCAGCAGTCAGGAACTTAAGTTTTCCGTTCTCTCCCTGTGAACATGACAAAAGACTCAGTCAGGCCTGCATGTGAGCTGCCTCAGCAGAGATATCACAGGAGAAAAGCTGATCTGCAGGAGAAACAGATCTGAGAGCAGCACAGAATGACTGAGAGCTGCTCTCACTTACTTACTCATTTATTTTTAGATTTTGAAATGTAACAAGCTGCCTGAATTTTGTGTTTCCTTTACATACATACATAAAAACATTTCCACCATAAATTGGTGCAGAAACCTTCACCAGAACGCAGGAAATGAAGTGTTTAAAGATCAAGATTTCCTGGGGGAGGACCCCCAGCGGCGCTCATGTATCTCAGCAACACTGTTTAAGGATCTTTTTGTCTCGTTCTCGTTGAGTGTCTCTTCACACCCCTAATCTGAGCCCTTATGTCCCCACCACTTTCCAACACAAAGTGACGCCCTTGCCTGGGATGGATCGGAGTGGAGGACTTGATAAAGAAGTAGCTTCCCTCCAACACTCACCTGGACGGTGTGCTGCTGTTTGGGAATCGTCTGATCTGACACTTTGAAACACAGAGGATCCTTCAGAGTCTCTACCAGCAGCAGATTACAGCACTGCAGCAGAGAGAGGCACAGAGAGAGACATGTTGCATAATATTAATCTGGCTTTTTAAGCACCATCAAGCCCAATTTATACTTCTGCGTCGTGCCATCGTGAGCACTTGCTTGTTGGCGGTGGGGTTTCTGTGTTTCACTGAGTTGACTTTCTAGTGTTGTAGTACTCGAGACCGGTCTTAAGACCACTTTTTAATGGTCTTGTCTCGGTCCCGGACATGGAGGACTCTGGATTTTATTTCAAGACCAGTCAAGACCAGAACTTTGGGAATATCAATAAATTGCTTTTGCATCGTCTGATTTATTTGTTAACATCCGAACTTTGATTGGATGTAAAACGTGTTGCTTCAAATACAAAAAATAACCCTGATTAAAATGTGTTGTTCCCGTTAACGCCTGCCCCCCTCCCCGCGATGCTCAGTGTGAAAAAGGAGCGTTGAATAAAGATGCTATCTTTGATTTCAGCTCTTAGTGTTTGTATGTGGGGGTTTTAATGGGAATGTGGATCTTCCAGCTCAGTTTGAGAAGCGCCTCTGATCTCCTTCCACATTATATTGTGTGTCATGTAATGTGGGGAACTGGTCTTGGTCTTGACTCGGTCTCGATAAGCTCTGGTCTTGGTCTTGACTAACAAGACCAGACCCCTCTGTAGATGAATGGGGAGAGTCAGAGCTGCACTTTCACTGGTCACCAGGACGTAAAAACTGCATTTACAGAATCAGCAGTAAAATCAGATTTTCCCCACAGGTTATACATCTCCGACACCTGCATGGTTGACCCTTACGTCAGTGGAACCACACGATTGGCTTAATGTGTTTCCTCGCTCGGCTGTTAAAAGCAGACGATTGGCTTTCTAGCAGGAGGGGCGGGATATGTGCATAAAACTGCTATCTTTGAGGATTCTTGAAGAGGCGTGTCTCCTCTTCAAACGTCCATGAGACAATGAAAAAGGGGGGTTTAGTTGTCAAAGGAGGACGTCCGTTACTTACAAATATGTGCGTGCTGTAGACGAACTGTTCCAGCCTCTTCTTGGCGATCAGCAGCATCTTATCAAACAGGAAGAAAGCTCTCTCCTTCTTCACTCTGTGGACCTTGAAGGAACCTTCCAAAACCAGCTCTCCAAACCCGCTGAGGTCCGGCCCGCTCCAGTTCACCAGCAGGGACTCAATTTCCTGCGAGGATGGGGGTGAAAGGTTGAGAAACACACGTAACACAAAAAGGTTCTACTACCTGAACCTTCATGGCGATATCCAGAAAGGTTCTGCTACCTGAACCTTCATGGCGATATACAGAAAGGTTCTACTACCTGAACCTTCATGGCGATATACAGAAAGGTTCTACTACCTGAACCTTCATGGCGATATACAGAAAGGTTCTACTACCTGAACCTTCATGGTGATATACAGAAAGGTTCTACTACCTGAACCTTCATGGCGATATACAGAAAGGTTCTACTACCTGAACCTTCATGGCGATATACAGAAAGGTTCTACTACCTGAACCTTCATGGCGATATACAGAAAGGTTCTACTACCTGAACCTTCATGGCGATATACAGAAAGGTTCTACTACCTGAACCTTCATGGCGATATCCAGAAAGGTTCTACTACCTGAACCTTCATGGCGATATACAGAAAGGTTCTACTACCTGAACCTTCATGGTGATATCCAGAAAGGTTCTACTACCTGAACCTTCATGGTGATATCCAGAAAGGTTCTACTACCTGAACCTTCATGGTGATATCCAGAAAGGTTCTACTACCTGAACCTTCATGGCGATATACAGAAAGGTTCTACTACCTGAACCTTCATGGTGATATACAGAAAGGTTCTACGGAGAACACTGCGGGGCTGAAAACAACCTCTTAAAGCTTTCAAACGGTTGCTTTATGAAATGTAAACTCGTTTGGTGCCCGGTAGAGCCGAAAGGTGGTGTGTAGAACTCACAGGAACACGCTCTGGACCAGCAGCATCACAAGAACAGATGTTGTCAGATGTTTAGTTACAGTTTAGGTTAGAGACGCGAGTTTGTGACCGGGAGATCGCCGGTTCAAGCCCTGTACTGGCAAGCAAGGCCCATAACCCCCGTAGCTCCAGTGTTGCTGCCAGCAGACCAGGCTGCAGGTGTGAATGTGATCAGGGCCTTCCTGCGAAAGAGAGGCTCCTCTCTTTTTTTCTGTGAGCTTTATATGAGCGTTTCATTTGATGAATGCCGACTGTTCGTGAGAAGGTGTGTGATTATGGAATCTGACGCCCCAAATCTGCCTGTTCCACTCTGTTTGTGCACAAGTTACAGATTGTCAGCTGTGGAATTAGGGAACACGATAAAATTAGAAAATATAACTGCAGCTGCAGAATGTTCAATAAAAGAAGGAAGGGTTTTATATGAAGTTATATAACTAGGTTCAGGAACAAAGACTCTCTCTCTCACTTTCTGTCTCTTTTGTTAGAACGTAGGAACCACTGAGGGTTCAGAGCACATTAAGCGATGGTTAGGGCGGCTGTGGTTCAGGAGGTGGAGCGAGTTGCCCTTTAATCTGAAGATCGGCCGGCTCGGTCAGCGGCTCCTCCCGGCTGCATGTCGAAGTGGGTTTGGGCGAGATACTGAACCCTGAATTGCCCCCGGCGGCTGTTCCATCGGTGTATGACTGTGTGTGAATGCGATGTCGTGTAAAAGCGCTTTGAGTGGTCGCACAGCCTAGAAAGTGTTGGGAGTCTGGTTTGTGTTCATGTTTTCCTGTGTAAGTCTGTTTTTGGTTCTGTGTGTCAAAGGGAAATTCTTTTGTCACAATTGCACACTTGTCAAGGTACATAGATAAAGAGTATAATATATAAATGTACAATATTTACATTATTAAGAGTTATTATGGTGAACCAAAAAGGACTAGTGAATAAATAGCAGCAGAGAATATTGCACATTAATTATTAAACAGGTAATTTTGCACAGAAATAGATAATAAGGTCTATTTTAATAACTGACTAAGTGTCAGACACTTATAAAGTTTGCTGGCCACAGGCAGGAATGACTTCCTGTGGCGCTCTGTGGTGCATTTTGGGGGAATGAGTCTTCTGTGTTTGAGCTCCATCGTTCTCTTCCGTCCATCCATACCCTGATTCCCTCACCTTTTATAATATTTTCATATGCTCCGTAAATGCTCTGTATTTGTTTAGCGCCTTTCTAGTCTTTTCAACCACTCAAAGCGCTTTTACACTACATACACTGAGCCTAAGTGCTCAAACGGAAATTAACATTCACGCATACACCACTGGGGGCAAATCAGGGTTTAGTATCTTGCCCAAGGACACTTCAACATGCAACCAGGGGGAACCAGGGATTGAACCACCAACCTTCCGATTAACGGTCAACCTGCTCTACCTCCTGAGCCACAGCCGCCCTGAACTCTCATCCCCAATTTCCTCGACCTCTCACTCTTCTTCCTCATCCCTCCATCTGGACCCTTAATCCATCTCGCTACATCATCTCAGCTCTCCTCCATCCACGTCATACAATAAAATATTCCAAATCCACATCTCTAGTAGCGTGGTCTTTGTTAGTGAAATTAGTTTTTATCCCCTTAACGCAGACGCAAATTAGCATCACAACGCCTTCTTTCAGAGTATGTATTCCCCCAATGCCAGTTTGTACATACTTGAGATGTACCTAGGAACCACTGGTTTCTCTTTTATGCCTGTTGTCACTTTGCATCATACCTAAATTTATATCTATATTTGTATACACAAATGAACAATATCCACTTAATTTAGCATCAACTTGAAAGCAAATGAAAACACAAATAATACATTTTCTTTTATAATTGTGAATAAATTCAGGTGTTATACTAAAAAACAAAGTGGTCCATGAGTAAAATGGCTGTTGGTGCAACAAGTGCAGGACTCTGCAGCTGCAGAATGACCATGAAGCAGCTGTTCGACACATTTTCCCACTTATATAGCACCTTTCTAATCTTCCCTAAAGCGCGTCATCCTACATGTCACATGCACACACATTCGTGCACTGATAGCAGCCAGAAGCCGCCATCTGCTCATCAGAAAGGAGCTGATCAGTCCCACACAGAACGGGTTCAACTTTACAAAACCACTGAGTTCCAGATGGGTCCTGTTCACCCCGGTGGTGAGTGTTTTTTCTTGTAAACACAGGTGGAAAGACACAAAAGGTCAACAAAAAGAACCGTCCAGAACTGATCAGTCTCCTCCTTTCAGACTACTTCACCCTTCATAACTGCAGGTTCGTTAGGGTTATCGTCATCTCTAAAGGAAAGACTGAGACACAAACAGGAAAGAAGTTGTATAAAAAAAATCAAACAATCTCTTTAAGTATATGAACTCTCCTCCATCTGGGCCGGCGTGAACGGTTCCCCTCCGGACCCAGCTGCTGAGAGGTCACACCTGTGCTCTTCCTGCTCCGTGAACTTTTAGGGGTTAAAGATTAAACTATTCCCAAACACAACTGTTTGTTAATGAGTCAGCTCCTCTGCTGTACGACAGGCACAGGTCACCCACCTGTGGAGACGACCTCTGACCTCACACGACCGGCTGGAAGAGAGAGTGAGAAAGACGTAGAAACACTAAACTACCACAGTTTGAGACTACAGACCAAACTGTTTGCGATGACAACTTCTCGTTGATGACGTTGTTTTGTACTTCTGTTGTGTGATTATAGGTCCAAACTGCAGTAAAGGTGAAAGAGACCTCATTTAAATTTCTAATAAACAAGACACAGTGAAAGCTTGGCAAGGCCAGCAGTAGCGCTTAAATTTTGATTGTTACCAACCCGTTCTCACTTCCAAGTCGTCACATATGGACACATGGTCAAGACCCATCAGTGTCAGTCTATAACGCACTGGGGATCCCTGTAGCATCATAGTTCAGCGCAGTGGGGGAAGCCCTGTAGCTTCAGTTTGTGACGGTAAAGGCAGGTTTATGATATTTAACAGGAAAGACTGAATAAGGAGGTGGATGGAAGGACAAAACCTGGACTTTGAACCCGTGTGAAACAAAACAAGATTAAATATTTTTATTTAAGTTACGCGAGTGACGTTAGTTAACTTACGTGTTAACTGACCTACGTAGTTCTTTTAACCCAAACCAGGATATTTTCCTAACCTTAACCAAGTAGTTTAGTTTCCTAAACCTACCCAGTACTTTTTGTGCCAAAATCTTGCAATGTTTCACAACTTTAATAACGTGCCGTTTCAAAATGCGTTGTTTCAATACGCTAGCGTTTTATTTTGTCGGACCTGTCAGACTTTTAGCATGGCGCTGCCACAGTTTATTCCCGCACTCCCTGGAGAACTATTGTCTAATTTTCGGAAAAAGCGATCTCAGAAAGAAGCAGACAGTTTTGCAGTTGCATTCTGCATTTGAAGGTTGCATCAAAGTCCTTATAGGCAAGTCATGCCATTTAGCAGCCATCTTGGCAACGCCTCTATATATCTTATAGCTATTTCGGACTAACAACACCAGGCTCCTATCTGGATGAATGGGGAGAGAGCCAGAACTGCACTTTCACAGGTCGCCAGGACATGAAACTGCATGAAGAGAATCAGCAGAAGAAAAAAAAAATCGCTGAAAGAGTTTGACGACTTTGCCCCAAAATAAGGTTTAAACAGCGTTTTTTCCTGACCGGTTACACTTGCATAACTTGCACACACTACTATGCATGCGTCACCACTTCCACGCATGTGAAGTCAAAGTAAAACAGACCCTTACGTCAGCGGAACCACACGATTGGCTGAAATATGATTCCCGCTTTGGCTGTTAAAAGTAGATGATTGGCTTTCTAGGAGGAGGGGCGGGATAGCAGCCATCTTTGGCGTTGTGGGCTTTCCCCATAGAGTTATAGTGAGGATGTGACTGAGTAGCGTGTCTCCTCTATAAAACGTCTCTGGTTGTATTCAGGCTGTCAAACTGACGCGAAAAAAATAAAGACAGAAGCTAAAGAGTCAAAGTGAACCACCGCACCACCTGACTATTGAGACAAGGACAATGATATTAATGATATTTTATCCTATTTTATTTCATTCTATTTTTATATATATTTCAAACGTGTTGTTTTGCTTTTATCATGTGTTTGTTTTGTTTTGTCTTTACACTTGTTAAAGCACTTTGTAGCTTGTTTTTGGAAAGTGCTCTACAAATAAAGATTATTATTATATTATTAAGGATTGACACTGTTCCTGTACAGCTGGGTAGGTCGCTATTCACTGTTACAACCATTAAAAAGCAGAACAGCAGGGTTTTACTACGTTACATTCAGTAGGAAGTTAGCTAGCGTTAGCTAACTAACATTACATTAGGAAAAATCCACAGGTTTTGGAAAGAGAATAAATCGTCCTTCTCCTTTCAGCCTCTCTGCTGTAACTATTACAAGATGCCGCAGGAACAGCGTTTGACCAGATCTTAGAAAAATACAGCCAGAAAAAAGCTAGAAAACGACTCTTTCTGCATTAGAGTCAATGGAGCGCAGCTGTGAAAGTGTCGGACCTCAGTTGGAGTGAGTTCTATACTGCGCTGTGATTGGCCAGCTGTGTATTCAGGGTGTGGCTTAGTGAAGGGTCAATTGCTTCTCTCACTGAAACTATAAATTACCATGGTTACAACCATGGCTTATTTATTTTCTAGATTAACAATGTTCACCCACTCTGCACTTGACCGAGGTCCTTCAAGAGTACCTTGGGAATAGCCTTCATACAAATGCAGGTGTAACACAAGTTAATATAGCGGGGGCCTATGGCCATGTGATTCAGTGGTTTGAATCAGATCATAAAGATTTCATGAAGTGCTATTCCAAATAAAAAAATCTGTCAAATATCAATAAAGGGCTTCAGGACTAGTATGATTCCTACTGGAATATATTTCACTTTGAGATCTCAGGACTGAATTGAAGTGAATTGACCCAAAGGGTACAGAAACATGGGTAAAAAAGAGAAAAACTTTAAAAAGCCAGACTGAGAAGAGGTGAAAGAACAAAGACCAAAGCAGAGAAATGACAGGAGAGGTGTTAAAACTCAGCTGGAGAAGAAGCCGACACACCAGCACAAGGCTGCTGAACGTCCACATGTGATGGAACAAGTTAATAACATGTTCCCTTGTGTGTAATGATGTGAACACGTGTTGGGGGAAGTTGTGGAACGCAGCAGTTGTAGAGTTTGACACCTCAAGGCCGAGCACCTGACCTCCAGCCGCCCGTCTGTCTCTTCCTGGCTGGAGGCTCGGAGAGGAGCTGCAGGTCTGTTAGCTTGGCTTTTAGTTTAAACACTGGGTACGGGTAAGGACTTACTATTAAAAGGTTTCATAAATTAAAAAACGTTGGAAACCACTCAACCTTTGTGGCACTTAGGGTTAGATGTAGATTAATCTGTCAGGGTCGGGAAGTCAGAAATAATTGAAAGATGAACAAACGCACTGGGGTTTTTTGTGTCTAAACTTTGGATATGTTGACAGTAATAAAATTATAGAATAACACCAGACTTAAACTTTAACCAAACAAAAACACAATCTCATCATCTACATGTGAAACAAATGAATGACTTTGTTTTAAATAAGATCTCCATTTAATTACTTATGTCACGGTTCTTTTCATGGACCAAAGAGGGCAAAATTAAAACCATAAGGTTAAAGAAATATCTCCAAAGGCTTCATAAATAACTCTCTGTGAAGTGGAATTTTATAAAAAGTTTGGAAGGCGTTCCTCAAGGAACCTTCTGAGGTCCTCTACAGTTTTAACATGAGAGCTTGCTAAACATTGTTGGAAGTTTTTTCTTTGGTAAAACTCTGGTTAATTGGATCTATAATGTTTGAAAGATGAAATAAGCTAACCAAATATAATTTCAGACAGATTTCGTATTTGTTACCATGGCTCGTTCAGAGTGAAAAACTGACCTCTTTGTGGATTTGGGATTCTGGGCTTCAAGTCTTATGTCAGTTTAGGACCGTAGTTCTCACAACCAAGCGGGAAGCTTCCAGTCAGCAAACTGATGCGGACGCGGAAGTCCCGTAAACCTGCATTCTATCGAACGGCCAGCAGGGGGCGACTCGAAGAAGCCGGGCTCAAATAGATATAAAATGTTTCTACTTGTCAGCTGATTTATTCCCTCAGTAAACACTTTCCTGATGAGTTTATGGTCTCAGTCACTAGTTTCAAGTCTTCTTCAACACAGCATGAGGTTCATTTAGTAAATTATGGTCCCATTTAGAGGAACAGAGACCAGGAAGCAGGGGAGGCTTTAGGGCGGGATTATCTATGATTGACACGTCGTTACCAATGGCGACCTGTAAATCACACTAGAGTGACTTGTACCCTCGGCACTGTGTAAATTTAACCAGCGCCGTTGAAAAAGCTTATCAGGAGTCGGCTGTTCACTTTCTCTGGTGAGAACATTTAGTTTTAAGCCTGCTGTTCTATAGACAAACTTATCAGCCCTGTTAAGATGACGGATGCACCTCGCTAAGCAAGCTAGCTAGCTCAGCACACGGTAGTTAGCTCCACTGTCAAATATGGTCACGTCCGGTGCCGCTGGTTGCAAAAAATGAACCCTATCAGCCAAACTCAAGGCTTCAAAACGGGCCAGGCTACGGACGCCTCAAAACTGTGGCGCAGACGTAACGTGCCGTAGCCGGAGTCAGAGGATTCCTGGAGTTAGGATCGGAATTTAGCTACTACAGAACCGCCCTGACTTAAAAAGTTCTTAAATAGGAACTATATTAAGATCCTAATATTATTCTGTGTACCACTTTTTGTTCCCAGTGTCAAGGTCCTCAAAACTCTATATACTGATCTGACGGCATCCTCATGCCATGAGTTTAGGAATTGCTTCTCTAATAGGAAGACAGGATTTTTCTTATCTTTGAAATTTAAGATAGGATAAGGATTTTTTTCTGTAATGAAACCCCTGGTGATTATTCATACATTATTTTATAATGAAAAAGTGACATTGCAGCTCAGAATAAGTGATGTATGAGGATGTTAATGTTAGAAATATAAATGCTTAAAGATCATTTCAGGTGTCTCACAGCGTGTAATTCCTGGGTGTGCTAACCTGTAGTCGCACTGCGTGTTCCTGTTTCCTCTTCATGTCATTAATGTACCAGGCCACCGCGGTCATGGTGATGATGGCGTCCTCAACGACCTCATATCCGGGGTCGCTCTTGTCAAAGTGCTTCGAAAGTTCCTGAGAAGAGAAAAGATGAAACATGTACAGTCTGTGTGTGTGTGCTGCTGTAACCTTCACGTTAATGTGACAACATTCAGCTCACACGTGTGCTGCCTTTTACAAACGTTTCACCAGATCGGACTTTGGAGCCTTTTTCAAACGTGATTGTTGATTTATGTGATGAGTTTATCTCTAACAGTTGTAAATGTGTACAATATTCTAGAAAGGTTTTCCAAATAGTGAATAAAACTACTGTATAATTCTAACGAGCTCACTGGCTGACACAGCAGTTCATCGCAGAACCAACTGAAGCAGAACCAGCTGGAGATTATGGGAAAATCCCAGCACAGCTCCAAACACATGTTTGACCAGTGTTTAAACTGGCCACTGTGGACAGAGTAACAACAACACAAAATAATACAGACCCAACAGCAGAGAACAAAGAGCAGGCTTTAAGACGGTTTCTCTCTGTTTCATCATCCCTCTCTCCTCTCAGAGGTGGGCTTGGACTGGGACCAGTAAAGAAGCTTTTATTGGGGAGAGCTGCATGTGTGTGTTTTATGTTTAATGGATGAGACTGTCTGCTGAATATCCTCAGATGTTTGTGTTAAGACATTTGTGAAGATTGTGACCGAGGATTCAAGTGAGAGTTATTATCACGAACCGATTAGCACCCGGGCCCGGCTGACCTCTGCAAAAGAGTCAGGGGGCCCCTTAAGACAAAATTAGGGATGTCCCAATCTAGTTTTGGGGGTTGTGTAAGGATGCATAAAAAAGTAAAACCTGCATCACAGATTTCTGAATATTCTGTGTAGTATTTTGTTCATTTTTGTGGACCTGACCTTGGATCAGCTGTGGCAGGAGCCCTCTTCATCAGATTTATGTAACACACTGCTACAGCGAACTCCCTCTCCTCTGTCCCCACATGACTGAACCTTCACCTTGGCCCTTGAACTTCATCCAGTTAGAGACTCTGTGACGGGAACAGCTCCTTCCTACCTCCAAGCAATGGGCAAACCCTACCCTCCTCCCCTGCCTCTGGAAGATTGGCCATCCCGTCACTCAGAGGACCCGGTTCCTCTCTGTTCTGGTCTCATTGTGGTGGAATGAACTCCCCCCCCCCCCCCCCCCCCCCCCCCCCCGAAGCCAAGACAGCAGAGTCATTGCACGACTCAACAACCTACGCTAGAAATTTCCTGTCTTCTCATTTCCCTAAAATGCCCTAAGCACTTGCACCGTAGCTCTCTGAACATATTTTGGGAAGGTTGCATTTCTCATTCTTGATGGCATCTAGCTTTACTTTGGTTTTAAATGCACTTATTGTGCCTTGCTTTGGTCAAAAGTGTCCACCGAATGTAATAGTTTACCAGTAAAACCAGCCATAACATTATGACCACCTACTGGTCACAAGGCAAGTCTCCCTTTTGCCGCCTAAACAGCCCTGACCCGTCGATGCACGGACTCCACTGTGTCTGTGCAACGGTCCTCCGAGTACATCCTGCGCGGCCCTGACTGGAACCGGCGCCCTCGGGTAAGGGAGGCATACAAACCCATGGGCACAAGTGTGGGTCGCCAGTGTGTCTCTTAAGGTGTCGGATAGTGAGGTTTACTCACTGCACAGCCATCCGGCTTCCGTTACATCTGCTCTGTGTTCTGACGCCTTTCTATCAGAACCAGCACTTTGACCTCCAGTAGCTCGTCTGGTGGATCGGACCACACGGGTCAACCTTCGCTCCCCACGTGCATCAGGGAGCCTTGGCCGTCCGTGACCCTGTCGCCGGTTCACTCTTTTTCCTTCCTTGGACCGCTTCTGATAGGCACTGACCTCTGCAGACCGCTTTGGAGATGCAGACCCAGTCGTCTATTTTCCCTTCATAATATATCTAATACAGTATGTAATAATCACTTCAGTTATTGCTGATCGGTGTACTGTGTGTCGTGCCTGCGTTCCACATGGATTTTCGTTCTCTTCAGTGGCCCTCATCTGAAGCGATGATGTCACTGTCTCGCCCTTATTGTATTGGCTGTGGTCGTTGATGACAGTAAAGCCCTGCAGATGTGAGCTGACAGCGAGGGACTCACACGGCAGCCGTTCATCTTTAAAATCAAAGCGGCGACTCGCTGAGACGTCTGCGTCCTCGGCTGTCCTCTGTCTACACCGGATGTTTCTCACTGAGTGCAGGAAAAAGCTTTATTGCTGTGTAATTTAAACACGTGTGTTTACTGACAGCAAACAGACGTGTTGCCTGGAAACCATGAACATCCTTTAAGATTCCTCTGGGAAAATGTTCAGCCTCAGTGGATCCTGTCAGATCTAAAGATATCAAGTATGGGATTCATTCGTAATGATCAGAGGTTAAAAAGCTTCCATCTCTCCATGTGACGGCCCCTAAAACACCACGTTGGTCCGCTTGGTGCGCTGCATGAAGTATTAATACTGCAAGTATTTGTTGTGTATTGGTAGAATATATGTGTAATATAGGTATCTATGTTGTACTGTAGTAGCAGGAGGTATTTGAAGTACTAAGTGTAGTCTTTGGAGTATTACCTTCAGTAGCAGGTGGTATTTGAAGTACTAAGTGTAGTCTTTGGAGTATTAGCTGTAGTAGCAGGTGGTATTTGAAGTATTAAGTGTAGTCTTTGGAGTATTAGCTGTAGTAGCAGGTGGTATTTGAAGTACTAAGTGTAGTCTTTGGAGTATTAGCTGTAGTAGCAGGAGGTATTTGAAGTACTAAGTGTAGTCTTTGGAGTATTAGCTGTAGTAGCAGGTGGTATTTGAAGTACTAAGTGTAGTCTTTGGAGTATTAGCTGTAGTAGCAGGTGGTATTTGAAGTATTAAGTGTAGTCTTTGGAGTATTAGCTGTAGTAGCAGGTGGTATTTGAAGTACTAAGTGTAGTCTTTGGAGTATTAGCTGTAGTAGCAGGTGGTATTTGAAGTACTAAGTGTAGTCTTTGGAGTATTAGCTGTAGTAGCAGGTGGTATTTGAAGTACTAAGTGTAGTCTTTGGAGTATTAGCTGTAGTAGCAGGTGGTATTTGAAGTACTAAGTGTAGTTTTTGGAGTATTAGCTGTAGTAGCAGGTGGTATTTGAAGTACTAAGTGTAGTCTTTGGAGTATTAGCTGTAGTAGCAGGTGGTATTTGAAGTACTAAGTGTAGTTTTTGGAGTATTAGCTGTAGTAGCAGGTGGTATTTGAAGTACTAAGTGTAGTCTTTGGAGTATTAGCTGTAGTAGCAGGTGGTATTTGAAGTACTAAGTGTAGTCTTTGGAGTATTAGCTGTAGTAGCAGGTGGTATTTGAAGTACTAAGTGTAGTCTTTGGAGTATTAGCTGTAGTAGCAGGAGGTATTTGAAGTACTAAGTGTAGTCTTTGGAGTATTAGCTGTAGTAGCAGGTGGTATTTGAAGTACTAAGTGTAGTTTTTGGAGTATTAGCTGTAGTAGCAGGTGGTATTTGAAGTACTAAGTGTAGTCTTTGGAGTATTAGCTGTAGTAGCAGGTGGTATTTGAAGTACTAAGTGTAGTTTTTGGAGTATTAGCTGTAGTAGCAGGTGGTATTTGAAGTACTAAGTGTAGTCTTTGGAGTATTAGCTGTAGTAGCAGGAGGTATTTGAAGTACTAAGTGTAGTCTTTGGAGTATTAGCTGTAGTAGCAGGTGGTATTTGAAGTACTAAGTGTAGTCTTTGGAGTATTAGCTGTAGTAGCAGGTGGTATTTGAAGTTCTAAGTGTAGTCTTTGGAGTATTAGCTGTAGTAGCAGGAGGTATTTGAAGTACTAAGTGTAGTCTTTGGAGTATTAGCTGTAGTAGCAGGAGGTATTTGAAGTACTAAGTGTAGTCTTTGGAGTATTAGCTGTAGTAGCAGGTGGTATTTGAAGTTCTAAGTGTAGTCTTTGGAGTATTAGCTGTAGTAGCAGGTGGTATTTGAAGTACTAAGTGTAGTCTTTGGAGTATTAGCTGTAGTAGCAGGTGGTATTTGAAGTACTAAGTGTAGTCTTTGGAGTATTAGCTGTAGTAGCAGGTGGTATTTGAAGTACTAAGTGTAGTCTTTGGAGTATTAGCTGTAGTAGCAGGTGGTATTTGAAGTACTAAGTGTAGTCTTTGGAGTATTACCTTCAGTAGCAGGTGGTATTTGAAGTACTAAGTGTAGTCTTTGGAGTATTAGCTGTAGTAGCAGGTGGTATTTGAAGTACTAAGTGTAGTCTTTGGAGTATTAGCTGTAGTAGCAGGTGGTATTTGAAGTACTAAGTGTAGTCTTTGAAGTATTAGCTGTAGTAGCAGGTGGTATTTGAAGTACTAAGTGTAGTCTTTGGAGTATTAGCTGTAGTAGCAGGTGGTATTTGAAGTACTAAGTGTAGTCTTTGGAGTATTAGCTGTAGTAGCAGGTGGTATTTGAAGTACTAAGTGTAGTCTTTGGAGTATTAGCTGTAGTAGCAGGTGGTATTTAAAGTACTAAGTGTAGTCTTTGAAGTATTAGCTGTAGTAGCAGGTGGTATTTGAAGTACTAAGTGTAGTCTTTGGAGTATTAGCTGTAGTAGCAGGTGGTATTTGAAGTACTAAGTGTAGTCTTTGGAGTATTAGCTGTAGTAGCAGGTGGTATTTGAAGTACTAAGTGTAGTCTTTGGAGTATTAGCTGTAGTAGCAGGTGGTATTTGAAGTACTAAGTGTAGTCTTTGGAGTATTAGCTGTAGTAGCAGGTGGTATTTGAAGTACTAAGTGTAGTCTTTGGAGTATTACCTTCAGTAGCAGGTGGTATTTGAAGTACTAAGTGTAGTCTTTGGAGTATTACCTTCAGTAGCAGGTGGTATTTGAAGTACTAAGTGTAGTCTTTGGAGTATTAGCTGTAGTAGCAGGTGGTATTTGAAGTACTAAGTGTAGTCTTTGGAGTATTAGCTGTAGTAGCAGGTGGTATTTGAAGTACTAAGTGTAGTCTTTGGAGTATTAGCTGTAGTAGCAGGTGGTATTTGAAGTACTAAGTGTAGTCTTTGGAGTATTAGCTGTAGTAGCAGGTGGTATTTGAAGT